CATGCTGGAGGGCAAATCCAGTGAAGAGGAATGCATGTCTGAAATTTAGCTTTCCAAATTCATACTTCACCACATTGACTGTAGCTGATGACAATGGTTCCCTCGCCTCAGGATTATATTCACTTTTTGTGTCGTGACCAACCAAATGAAAGAAATTGACATTGTGGCTGCTCAAACCATTCCTGAACCCTACCATAAAAAGTCAGGCTCCCATTTATCTGTCTTTTGACTTGTATCCCTGATTACTCATCCTCAAAAAAAGGGTTGAATGTGCCTTGAACCTGCTAATGTCCTGCCTGCAGCTATGGCACGTTCCTGAGAAGAGAGAAGCGTGGTTTTGAGACAGGATCTGAGGGAACAAGAAGAACACATCTGACATCATAGGTTAGTGTTGTAGTTACTACACTGGCCTGTAAGTGGTGGGCATCACCTCTTCTGTCTTAGATCAATGGCTCGTGGCTCCTGGCCTTTGAGCTGAATCCTGTCCACCCTCCCATCCTACCTAAATTCAGGCACTATATAAAGGATCTCTCTGGGGACTTGCACAGAAGTAAGGTAGTAGTCCACCTAGCCTCTGAATTATCTTGTATTTCAGATGGATGACGCTGCACAGCTGAGGAGCTTTGGTACATGTACAGATGCCTAAGCCAAAATAATTAAGAACATTTAAGGCACATAGTGGACTGGAGGATGCACTGCAAGCTTTCAGATGCCTCTAGGATTGTCAGCCACGGAAACGTGACCTTTCTACATAGCTTTCTTGGGCCTAGGTGCCAGAACAAGTGAAATACACCATAAAACAAAAGTAAAGCAAATGTAATATGTAGTGAATAAAAGATAAAGACTTATTTATTTAAGTACTTAATAATAAGAACGACTTGCAATGATGAAATGCAGAGAATCTTGTAGAGCTGTATTTTGGAAGGGAAATGCTTTTGCAAGTTAGGTGGTAGCAATGCTTACTAAAACTAAGGGGGCATTTGCTTATTTCCTCAGGTAACCGGCTACAAGATTCCATTTAATTTGTGTTAGCCTACCTGAATTTCAATAGATGATGCCATCAGGACAGCAGTCCTGTGAACGCCACTGCTGACTAGAATGAGACTGCTAAAGTACTTTTTGTTCATAACCCATACCAAGATTTAAATGCAAGACACAGGCTGATAAGCTAATATGCTGCCTGAGAGATCCAGTCATTCTGCTGCCAGCAGAACATCTATTGCTAAGGGCATCAACATTCTTCACCATATTTGAAAAATAAAACAGAAAGAGTAAATTAAAGAACTTGGGCCAGAAAAACAGTATTTTGAGCCATTAAGGACCAATGAATTTTGTTTCTTACTTTAATATATATCACTTAATCATATTGTCAAAGCACTTAGAACAGTATTTAGTTTTGAATAGTGGATGCTTGAGGGGTCCAAATCTTGGTTTTGACCAAGTGTTTTCTAGCAACTTTTTAATGTATGCTTTTGATGTATGCCTAAAGAAGATCGACTAGATAAAAAATCACTATAGAAATCATGTTAGATACATATTTAATTGCAAATATATATTCAAAATTGAAAATTATGAGGTAATGAATTTGAAAATAGTTTGAGAATTGTTTTAAAAATCTACAACCCATCATAGAAAGTTGCAGAATAGAAAATTACAGTCTTAATTTCTTGTGTTCATACACACACACATACATAGGTACTGCATTCGTAAATCTACTTGCACCATTAATTACCTACTTTTAAGCAATTAGAGGCAAAAGAATTGAGATTTACTTGGTGTATTCATTCTCTATGGCTCAGAGTGTCTTTGACTAGCCACATTTTGGAATTTAACTTTTATTGTATTGTGCAGGGCAAAGAAGAACTGCTGCACAATGGTAATGACTGGATTGGTTGCCTGAGCTATATTCAAGGGATCTTGCAACAGAGCAACTAGCAAGTGCCGTTTTACAAAACATAAATACTACTTAAGGATACTCCATGCCTTCTCCACAATAAAAGATAATGAGACACTACAATTGCTTGAAAATATCATACTGAATGTCTATCTCTTGAAGATTCATTCACCAGTTATAAGCAATAGGATTTTGCAAAGAATTTACGTTCTTTTTCTTCCATCTGAAGAGGCTGCAGTGAAGTACAGTCATCTCCCAAGTCCCTTATTATAAAGTTCTAGAAAATGATCCTTTGACTTAAACATAATGCATCAGTTAAATATATGATTCAGTACGAATTGAGTTAGTTTGATTATAGTAGTAATTCTGACGTCTATGAATATCTAAAGGGGAAAATTGAATGATTTTCATTTAATTTATTCCATGTGTCCAATTTATTTCCTGTGGAAATGGTGCAAGCAAAACAATCTTTAGAGTCCAAATTACATGGATTTGTTAAGAAATATCATATGTACCTTAAAATATAACTAATGACTGAAATGCTGATATGGTATATAGTGGTATGCCATACCAGCAGTCAAGACTGCCATTTCCTGTAGGGGGAAAATGGGACAGCGTAAGGTCGCAATAAGAACATGCTGGAATATTTCTCATATTGGTACTTCTATGAGTTCAGAACGGTACTTCTGGTATCTTGCTTTGACCATGGGCTGTAATATTTAAAACACAGAGAATATGTTCTATAACACATATAAAATGAAATTATTCTATCTAGAAACTACACTTGATTTAAGGAATAATATGATTTTGTATTTCACTGACTTTACTGCATAGTGGAAGTGAGTTTTCTACATAACCTGTTGCTGACGGCCTCTTCTCCTAATGCCTGGTATCTCTGAAAGCTGAACCTAGAGAAGTTTGACAGATGCTGTAATTTAGGCCCAGCAGACAGTGTCACCTTGCAAACCGGTTAGTGTGCTCTACGAACTGAGATATATGGAGAAAAAAGAATGAGAGGTACTGAAATGAAAATAAAATATCTTTAATAATATAGATTTGATTTGCTTAAATATTTTGAATTTTTTGAAATGCTGAAGTCTACTATGAGAAATCACTAGCAATTATGAATTAATTCTACTTTATACATTTGTTGCAATACAAAGCAAAATAAAATCTTCCTATATTTGTTGAAATCCACTGACACTGTAGGATCTTATGTCGTCTATTTGCATAAGTTTTAAAGATGTCTTAAGGAAATTAACTACTTCAACAAACCAACCATATCCTATAATTTAATGAAAACTGAATTTTACATCAGGACAAAAGCATTCACACAATATAAACAAGCTTTTGAAACCGATGCACACATTTCTTACTGTATCCTGTAATTATCCAGTCATATAAACAAGATAAGGAGAACATAATGAGCTAAGCAGAGTTGAATTTAAATCCTATCATAAAGCAGTCATAGCTTTAATTTCACCAGCAAGGTGGCATGTTAAGGAGACACCTGAATACATCCATTCTAATACTGCTTATAAAGTCCCTTTTGGCTTTTATTTCAAACCTCTTACTCAGAAAAAAAAAAAAAAAACACTTCTGTTCTATAGCAAATATAAAAACTCATTTATATAAAAATATAACCCATGTTATTGAAAAAACAATTTAGTAGCCAGACTGTGGTATCCTAGACAATAGCAAGCTAAGAGATTTTTGTCACTTAGTAAGTCCGATGGCATTAAAGGTGAGATTACCTTGCCTCCAGCTCTTGCTTGAGAGAGGCAAAGGTGACACATAAGACTTGCATGCCCTGCAAGGATGCCTCAGACTCTGTAAGACAACTGAAATGGCATTATATGTGTATGGTCAGGTAAGTGGATAGCATCCCAATAGTGTCATAGCTCATATAAATCTGATGGTCCTGATAGTGAATTTGTGGAAATATGTAACAGTTACTCTCATCAAAATGTGAAGAGCCCTGTACTCAGCCAGAAACATTCTTTAGCATTTAAAGCATACATTGATCATAAAAATAACGGATATGAAAACATCAGGTATACAGAAGTGGTGGAATAGGGTGACATAAGTATTTTTGAAATATTATAATCTTTAAATTGTTTAAGTTTTTTACCTAGAGTTTTTCAAATGCTAATAAAATTTCTACAGTGATTTATTCACCTTTTAAAAATTGTATACTACCCAATGAGGCTACCCAGAGGTACTACCTAAAGAGATTCATGTATTTTAACCTGACAGCTCTCCCTAGTATTAGCGCTAGGAAGTGGACTGCCAGTCCTCAGCTGCGAGCGTGCACTGAGCACCCCCTGCCACACACACTCCCCCATACACCCACACACTCACACAAGCTAGTGCAGAATGCAGCATCTCCCTGCTTAAGGAAGTGCAAGCATGGTGCTAAAGCATTGCTTTATTGTAAGCTGATCGGTGTCCTCAATACAGTCTGGGATCCCACAGAATAATGACTATGCTCCTGTGCATTATCAAAAACTTTAAATTAAAGGTAAAGCAATTTAATAGATTTCAGGACTGGGCCTAAAGATTAAGCCAGAATTTGTTTGCCACTATTCTATATGAGAAGAAAAAATCCCTTTCATACTAGGGGATTTTTGTTTTGTCTTTCATTTTACAAAATGCTAAAAGGTCCTTCCTCTTAAAAAGTGAGTGAATATTCCCAAATTATTAAACCTGAGAGAATGGCTTGACCATAATATAGAATATATAGAGGCACAGAACCCCTTATACCTACCTTGCATAAACTTGTGAATGATAATTGTTTACATTTTAAGTTATCCAATATACTTTTTGTGCTATTACCTCTCTTAAGATCATGTGTCTGTTTAACAACTAACTATTGTTACTCATTGCCATGTCTGTAGATCAGTTTACCAAAGAACTCTTTTCAAAGACAAATAGGTTAATGATGATGATGATGATGATGATGACGATGATGACGATGATGATGATTTCAGTATTACAAAATCTGAAGTATGGTGCACACCACAAATGTCCCTAAGGTCCATATATTTAAATTCCCCCGGTACAATAATTTATGGTGATCTTGTCTTCAGCCTGCACTGTTACTCACCTCGAACAAGCAGCTCTGCCTCATCGGATACCGTATCTGCTGCGGTCTGTACCCTGCAGCCATATCGCCCAGCGTGCACCAGAAGGATGTTTCTGATCATTAAATCTGCCGAGGATGCTTGCTGAAACAGAAATGAAGTGTCAGTTTAAAATTTAGTAAATCTGTGTGTTTGAGGTAATTCATGAGGGCGTTTGGTACAGTGTGAGAAACCTGTGACTGCAGCTTTCATCCTACAACATTTATGTGCCCTAATATCCTCTTTTGAAGATTATTGGAACACTGATTTTACACAGCCATTAATAGGGATTAAAGAAGAGGATTTCAGGTTTTTAATAACTCTGACTTTGCTTAAAGCACACTATGCTTATTTGCACGCACAAAGAAAATGATTCCAAACTTGCATGAAGAAATTGATTAAGCCAAACAGAAATATTTTGGGTGCAATCCCTAGTATTAGACAGATCCTAATATGGCTCTTTCTTCCTCTCCCTCTTCCTTTTTCCTACAATGCAGTGATGTTTGCAGTACATATCTCCACTGGAATAAAATCAAAATAACTTAAATGATAGTCCTGATTGATGTTTATTGATATCAGTATTTCAGTCAACAGTAATTACGGTGCCCCCAAATTATCAGTGGAAAAGAGAAAAATGGAAAATACAGCCTTTTGGAGGATGAATGGCTTTTTTCTAAGAATCTCTGTATTATTTTATGAATTCAAGAGATGGTGTTAGATTTTGCATGTACAAAATCATTGTTATTTCCAAGGCTTACTGGAGTCAATAAATGTTATTCCATCAAATTTAGTGAGCTCAAGTCCATAGATGTTATTGATCTAATATTATTTCTCTCTACTCAGGGAAAGGACAGTTAAGTATAAGTGAAAGTCACCCCGGGCACATGGCTAGTATAGTGATTACAGTCTACTTTTTCTACTCTGTATGCTCAAAATGCTTGCACTTTTTTGATGATAATATGAGCATCAACAGTTTTAACAAGTTGCCATATACATTTTTGTCCTTTCAAAATATTTTTCTCTCCTAAGAGTCAAATGAAAATGATTTTTACAACACATTAACCTAAGATAGACTATCAAAGCATTACTTTTCTTTTTGAATCTTAAAGAGTTGATTCTGATAAAATTTTAATATTTCCAATAACTAGCTCTAAATTTCCTCATCATTATTACTGTGTATGACATGCAATCCTAATATGCTAAGCTTTTTCAGCTTCCATTGTTTCCTCTGAACCATGTCTCATTTTAATATCGTCAATATATCAAGGGCCTATGTCATGCATTTTCATATTTTATTTTGCATTTTGTTTTGTTTGTCTAGAAAGCCAGCATTGCTGAGTAATTCCCAAGGGTAAATAATCTCTTGACTTCTAATAAATTTGCAAAGTTTTGATTTCAAGGGATAATAAGAAAGCTACTATTGTTCATTCAGCAACTATCTATTACAAGCATCTAGTCCACTCTTTTATGTCAGATGTAGGTCTGGTCTTTGCTAGGTCTTTGAATCTACTTACTTGCTGTCACAAGCAACCATATCATGTAATCGCAGCAGGAACTGATAGAGCGTTATCGTTATGCTTCATCATTTTTCACTTCTTTTATTCCATTCCAAAACATCATTTTAGGGATATTCTACTAATATCCTACTACAGGGACTTCAAGCCCATTTTTTAAATGCAATACTATAATTTATCTTAAATAATCCTTCCTCACTCATGTTTCACTCTAAGATACATTTATAAAGTTTAGTCACTTCCCTTCTCAGGTTTTATTTGCCTTGCTAAACAAGAAAAGATTGCCAGTTGCTCCTTGAGTGATATGTTCCCTGGGTATTTCTCTGTATTGGTTCTAATTTGAGTTATTTTGATCTTGAATGACCAGAAGTGTATCCTATATTCAAGCTAAAGTCTTATCAGAGGCACACATGTTGATATTCCTCTAGCTTTTTTTGGAAATACATCACTGACAACACCTAGATTCATATTTGCCTAGTTTTTGCCCACTTATGCTGTGGTCAAGTAGTTGCACTCACATATTCACCTTTCTCAGTCATTTACAAGTTGTGAGCTCCTAGTTTACAGCTGTCAATCCATATGCATGTGACTTTGCAATATGAAGCATTGAATTTCTTTCTTTTCTGTAATTTCAGTTCTCAAACCCATCTAATTTTTCCTCCATATTATTTTCATACCCATCTAATTTTTCCTGTGTGTTATTGTTATCCTCTTACGTATTGGTAGTATGTCCAATTTGTACAATACAGTTGTCATTATCATACTTTTTTTTTTTTGGCCAAGGTCCTTAAACACAAGATGAAATAGGGTTGCTTCCAAGATCCAGTCTTTTAGAAGTTTTTCCTTTCTAGGCAGGGTAGTTCTGTTTCAGCATGACTGGTTGATATATCTTCTTTAGCCCATCTTCCCTTCATGCGAATTTTTGGAACTAAGACTTGCTATATATTTAACTAATAATATTCCATATAACATCAAGGTAAAATATCTACTGAATTGTATATAACATAAATATAAAACATTAGCAGCTGTCCATGTTATTATTATTAATTATTATTATTTTAAAGCTATAGATGCAATGGTAACTGTTATTTTTTCTCACAAAGTGCAGGCCAAACTGATTTCTGTTTACTAGATATCATTGTTAATTCCTACGGAATTTTAGGGGGATCTTTTTGGCATCCTTTGAGCCCCTTAAGTCTTTAAAACTTATTTCCACTTGTCTTTTCCTGTTCTGCACTCAGTCTCATTAGCTACCAGGCTACATATTAGCTGCCATGTTCATCACTATTTCATTACTGAAAAATAGCGTAATTTGTTTCAGTCTTTCCATCATCCTAAACTTATCCTCAAATCTTACTACATAGAGGTCCTTCTTTACAAGTAGTGTGTTCCTCTGTAGTTATTATTTTAAGAACCTTTTATTTTCTGTTTCAGGTTTTGTTGTGTGGCCTGAGCTAAACTTTTGGTCAATGGCTAATGGAATGCTCTTATTTTGTAGTGGGGAATTCTATAGCTTAATTGAGAAATAAGTTTTGATTTTTGCTCCCATCGCCATTTCACATCTCGGTCTGTAAATTTTTATATAATTCATATTATTTCCAGTCTCTCTGATGAATGTTGCAGAAGCATTAGGATTACATTTATGATGACAGTGCTTTCTAGTTCTGCATAATCTATTTATCTTTCATAGCTACAGTATTTTACTGCTTTGTTCTTCATGCTTTGGACTCAAATGTGATACCTAGAAAGAAAATCCCTCTTCCAGTGTATTGTCAACATAGCTGCTATAAAAATATTTTTTACAGTAACTCTGTAGGGTCTTCCAATTTCAGAAAAGGTTAAATACTGTCTATTGTACCCTCAGATAAGAAAAATTTCTCAGAAAATCAACCATCTACACACCAGAGAGAATGCCAGAGGGTCATGCAGTGGAGACAGATACAACTGGGGAAAGTGGGAGAATTAGTTAAGTATAAAACAGAAAATAATGAGTTCAAATTTGCCTAATTAAGGTCCATTTAGGAGCAATGCTGGGTAGATTAGACAAACATTTTTTCCTTTTCTTTCTTTTGTCTTTATCTGTAAATACAGATGATTAATGTTATGATGTCTATAAACACAGATGGATAGTAAGGGTTTCAGAAACTTGTCATGCAACATCTTTGGCGATTTTAATAAGCTATTTTGTGAGAATACATAAAAGCGTAATCATATATGAGGAAGTAAAAAAGAGATAGGAGATCAAGGTTGCCACTGAGACCAAAGTGAATGTGGGCATGATCTATAGCTCAATAACCCCATAGGTCTAAGTGTGTGAATACAATGGTAGTATTCTGCCTTTTGAAGTAGCCTAATCATGATATATCTGGAGGCAAGATGCTCAGCCTAGTCAGGTCATAATGAAGTTCCTATATTTCTACTCTGGTGTTCCCAAAACCTTTACAGCTAACTTAGATCACACTTATGGAAAAGAGCATTGTACAGCTGTAAATGTAAAAGTGCAGCATACCGTGGCACTTTTATAAGGAGTCAGCTTGGGGATACAAAGTTTTTAACTCATTCAGCACAACGGTGTTTGTTAGCCATTGAAAAAGAGGTTATTCAAGGTGATTAATGCTTCTGATACAAAGTCTTAGGTATTAGAAGGATAAGATCAGAATTAGTCCATATTTCTCCTCTCTCCTTTGAAGGTAATTTACATGTAATGTGCCATGTTTTTAGGTGGAGGGAAAAAGGCATAATAGACAGCAACTGCCTGGTTTTATTGCTAAGGAGCTGTTAAAAAAATTAGCTGTCACTCGATTTTCTGAAGGGTTCATGACTATGTGAATCCTAATATTCTCATCAGGAAAATACATAAATTTCATCTGCATACCTATGTAACCGAGCAGATTGACAGCAATTGGAAAAATCATTGCTGTAGGAGCACTGTAGTAAAATACAGCCCCATCAAACACTTAATTTTATTATAGAATAACAGCATGTGCAGCCAGCATTACTTAAAATGTGAGTGGAAAGAAATTAAAGGCACTGTGTTTAATACAAACGGATATATATTCAGACATTAGCTTCTTGATCATGGAACACACTGAGATATTTTAGCTTCTGCTGTTCAGATTAGGAGAAGCCATGTTTGACCAGCACCCCTGAAAAAACAAGATTACATTATTTGCTCTTCAGTGGTGTCAAAGGTCTTTACAAATTTTAGGGAATCTACCCTTTTGTGAAGATTTAGAAAAATGATATATTAGCAGTTTGGTAACGGCTAACATATCCTCTGGGCATAAAATGCTGCATAAACTTAAGTGTTCTTCTAGTTTTTATCCTGGTTTTATATAAAGGTTTTACAATATATGGAAACAGTAAGGAAAGGCTTCATTAAGTGAAACAGGTGCTACTGCTATTCTCATTTTCATATACTGGAATGTGAGGACTATGTCATGTTGCCCTAAAAAGCCTTTATTGAACATGAAGGGAATTCTTTACTTGGGAAAGGCATTAGAAGAAATACAAATGGGCCGTGATAGCATCTGCAATATCTTTCTTGTGGTTATTAGTATAGAGAGTCCCTTATACATGGCTGATTTTTTG